AGCTGTGAAAAATGCTAACAACACCAGGCACAGACATTGAATGGAAAATTTCCCAGAGTTCGTTGGTGTCATCCAGAATGATAATGTTATTAGCACATTTAACACTGAAAGGCAGGAAGAGTGTTATTACATATATCTCATTTACCAAATGTGTATTATTCATGTGTAGATTATGCATTATGTGGATTGAATGTGGTTCCATAAAATGTAACAAACCTTCACCTATGTCATTAAAAACACGATCAAATAAAAAACAAGCATTATTATGTAAACTTGACCCAATTAGTAAAGTCCATTTTTGTGATCATTTGTACATACATTCATCTTTATTACATTCCATGGATCGATAAGTTAATCAGTTGACAATAAGATGTTAAGTAAGTCATAATAATACAGTGTGTCCTAAAGATTTCACATACTACAACTTAAGGGTTCACATAAAGTAGTGATATGTTACAAATAAATCCACCAATTTCCTGTAGTAATAGTAACAGTATTACCACAAAAATTATTGCACAAGAAAGCATCATCACTGTTGCTTACATGTATTTATAATACCAGAGAATTTTTGGTTGAGGTAAATTCTATGGAGTATAGCGAGTGTGATAGGACATACTCTTTTAGTGCCAACTTAAATGTCTATATTGTGATTCAGAATTTCTATACTTGGGGATGATTACTGAACAGCTAATTCCTGTAAAGTAAACCTTGATATTTATGGAGGTTAGTGTTTGGCACAGGAAGGTTATATTGTGGATATTTGAGTTTGTTTGAAATTTTTCTATGTTGTCCACTGCAGATAATAATAATTAGAGCAAGAATATTAATAATAATATTACATTTCTTAATTCCCTATATGAGCCACTCCTTTTAGTGCCTGCCATTATTCTAATGATTTTCTTCCAAACGTAAAATACTTTTTTGGTGTCTATTGAGTTTCCCCGAAAAATAGAGTGTGTCAGTGTTGCTGACATGCAACATAGGTCTAAGTGCATAACATACTCCACTTAACTACGATATAAGTTTATATATAATATAATTTGTTCAGTTTAAGTGGTTATCAATTTATAAGTCCTGTACATCTCCGTTCTCTTACATACGACTACGATATTACTTCTTGGGTAAGTTCACATGATTTATTTTTACTATTTATTTATTTTGTTTTCTATATTTCTATTTTCAGTTGTCATTGATAAAATTGAAACTTTACTTCACAGTCGTACACAAAATATTGAAGTCACTACAAATAATAAATAAAAACCTAATAGTGACCTGTGATAATACAACCAACGAAGAAAAATACAAAGGACCAGAACATCATCAGAAAAATGAAGAATATAAATCATAAAAACAATAACAATCAGTAATTCATGTATTAAGTTTAAACTACATAACACCCATTGATGGCTAAATTATAGCCGAAACTAGTCGTGTAAGTTCCAATGTAATCGAGTACTCGATAGGAACGTTAAATGATGTTTTAATCTTTTAACAATATTATATTTGTGATTGATGGCAAAAGTTTTTAATAAATATTTTAATAAGGTTAACAATTTGTAAACCCAGGAATTTCATATTTACTGACAGTTCTATGTACTTTCCATTATAATCAATGCTTAAAGCATATTGTGGTTAATTATTTATTATAAATTTTATTTTGTTTATTATATATAGATTTAGGGCCAGTTTGTTAATAGTAAAACATTTACTCATATGAGAGAGATCTGTGTTTGATGTTGCACAGAAGTCATCAAAATGTTTTCATGAAATTATGACATGTCATCAGCAAATATTATGTTTTCTAATGAGGTGTTTATTGTTGGAGGAAGGTCATTTGTGTAAATTATGAAAAACAACAGCCCTCGAATTGGTCCTTAGGGAACTTTGTGTTTTATTGTTCCCCAATTTGAGAAGAAAAAAATGTTTCTAGGAGACTTGCCTGATGCATTTTTTTTCAGATCGGTCTTAAGCAAGGATAAGCTTTATCACTGTTACTGTTAACTTTATTTTGGAATATTTGTTTAGAAAGGTGCAAGAAAATTAGGTGGAATTTAAAATGAATTGGACACATCAGCCTGTGGTCTATGCTGGTGATGTTAATTTGTTGGGTGAAAATATAAATACCATAATGGAAAGCACAGAATCTTTACTAGATGCTGGTAACAGGTTGGTCTAGAAGTAAGAATATAACAAGGTAAGAATATGTTCATTTCTCATTAGCAGACTGCAGCATTAATCAAAATTGCATTCACAAAGAAATTAAGAGCATATTAAATTTAGGAAGTGTTTTTCCTGATGCAGAACATAATCATTTGTCTCCCATCTGTTGTCTAAAAACAAAGATTAAAATATATGAAACAATAATGTTATATTTTCTTTTCTATGACTGTGAAACTTGGTATGTTATGTTAAGAGTGGTGCACAAACAGGATATTTGGCAAGGGTGCTGAGGAGAATGTTTGAACCTAGGACAGGGGCTTGAGAAAAATACATCAGATGCCTCACCATTTTTACTCTTCACCAAATATATTCATATAGTGGGAGGATAAAATGGGCAGGGCATGTGGCAGACATGGAAGAGATGAGAAATGCATATAAAATTTTGGTCAGAAAACCTGAAGAATGGGGATTACACACAAGACATACACACATATCAGATCATGGATCTTATGGTAATTGGGTGTATGGGTGTGTGTATTTGTAATTTATTTAATGATTCTCACTGTGTTGCATCAAATAAAATTATGATTAATAAAGAATTGGAAAGGATATTGAAGGGAGAAGTCTTGGCCTAATTTAATGTACTATCCCACATTTGCCTGGAGCGGCTGAGAAAAACCACATAAACTTTAGTCCTCATAATTGATTTAGCCAATATTTGAACCCAGGACCTGCTAAATAGGAAGCAGGAGTTTTTGGACCGAATTAATGTAGCACTATGGGGATCAGTGGTGTGTTCTTGAGAACACCGTGCTGAAACTTCAGGTTCACCCGAATTAATGTAGCACTATGGGGATCAGTGGTGTGTTCTTGAGAACACCGTGCTGAAACTTCAGGTTCACCAAAATGCAGGGAATTTTATGATCAGGTGAGCAACTATTATCTCCTCAAAAACCAGTATGAATTAATTTTTATGTATGTGGATAGAAAGGGAGTTGCCACTGTTATTAAACTGTTTTGTGGCATATGCTGACAGCTAAAATACCTTTCCATTTCATTAAAAGATAATTGTTGATTCTAAAAACTTACATCATTCTTGAACTTGTGATATTGATCTTAGAAGCTACTTAGTCCTGAGACAGTAAGATGATAAAATGCAGCTGAAATAGGTGTGTTGCATCAGTTGTGTGTTACGAAGTCCAAAAAATTGGAAGAAGCATATATTGTAATGTAATACATACCTATTAATGGTGCCATCAAAACAATATTTTGTGATTTACTTTTTCGTTGTACTGTTATACGAATGATTAGTGTGCCAGGCATTGATGTAGAAGTGTCCACATTTGACTTCCATGGTGTTTGAGAGATCACTGTCTCTGATTCCATTTTTATCACTTCCCACTCTGATCCTGTCCGCTGTTCATCCTCCATCTGCATCACAGATTATCAGCAGATATAAATATCACAGTTAATATGTATAAAATCACACCTTCATTATATCTTACCATCAGATCACAAAACAAGGCTTCAAGGAGATGCAGGTACTGTCATCTCTCTAGACCAGTGGTATTCAACCTGGGGTACGCGAAGACATCTTTAGGGGGTACGTGAAATTTAAAAAAAAAATATATTATTTTAAGATAAACACTGAATAATCAGTAATGTAATTTATTTTAGATGTAGATTATATACTATGTATAACTTGAATTATACACCAACAACTTTGGGGGTACAAAGTTGAAGAGAAATTATATCTTGGGGTACGCGGAAAAAAAAAAAACACTATAGACTAATGTAGCGTATGGGCATCATGAATGAAAAGAATTCAGCATATTTCCAAAAAGTTTAATTCTGAAGTCAGATGTACTTTCTGATGATTTATTTTTCTACCACTGAACACCACTATTCAGTGGGATTACAAGCATCATTAAAAAAAACTCATTCACGATGTTCATCAACTTATTGAATAACTATCCCTGTCCCATGCCAGTGAAACATGTTCAACAGACATCACTCATAAAGAAAAGGAAAACTAAAGTTGTTCTAATGCTTAATTAAGCTTCAAACTATGAAGACGTATGGGAGAGTGGAGATATACTTCTTAGGTTAATCCATTATTAACATTGATGCGAGACAGAACACGAGAATGAACCTTGGTTCCATAAAATTTTGGGAATTTCCTGAGTGGGCTGAGCAATTGTTGGTTTCTCAGGAAAGACTTGACTGCATGGAGTAAGGAAGTAAAGAGTAGATCAAATATCTCTGATTATGTGAATATGTCGATTTGCCTTTCTGGCATGATGCGCTCAATATGACGTAGAAGAAAAATCTACTGAACACTGAAGTGTCTAAGGAGCACAAAAACAAGTGGGTATACAGCATCAGAAAAAACAGTCTAACAATAACAATGTACTTTAATAAAATATGCTTATATTTCATACATATTAATGCATGCATTTTAAGAACAAACATGGAAATAAATATACACGTGATTCAATAAATGTATACAAATGTGGCATGATAACTGCAAGGCAGCTGTAATGACAGCAATGGTGTGTTGTTATTGGTTGTTGCGCTTGAATATTTCTACCTCATATGCCAGACAGTTTTCTGCATCAAGACACTTCTTCTAACAGTGAAAGTTCTGCCTTGTGTGATTCACACATATCCGTACAATACCCACATACATGGACTTCCAAACATTTCCAAGATATGTTATCAGCTGCTATAATAGCGTTTATCCTGAAATTTGGTTCAAATATTGACATCTAAACTACTTTTTATGCTGTAATTGAAGTCTTTGTTGATGTTTGTACTTTATTTCATTCATTGATATCACCATTATCTACAGAGACAATAACTGGTTTTGGTCATATACTGGAACAAAATTAGGAAAAGTCCAATATAAATGAAGTAAAGAACGCAGCCATCTTCAGACCCACCGCCATGAAAACCTCAAATCCTACAAAAAAATTAAATAGCCCTGACACTGTACTGTCCAAACAAGGGTAAAGGAGTTACCTTAACAATTTGTGGATATATCGGATTCATTCAAAATGCTGTAGTCTTCCCTCATAATGAAATTACAAGCTTCTGTGAGCTTATATAAATAACTGAAGTATCCCATTTGTTTTTGTAATTTTCAGGCATAGAAGAGTTAACCAGTGCTTTAGAGAGAACTAAAGAAACACATTTACATTAAATACATGCAACTAAATGCTCCATTCATGTAGCGAGAAAAGGAACTTACCACAGAATCATTCTGTGCAATTAGAAGCTCTACATAATCCTGCTGAGACCAAACCCCCAGATGGAGTTCACAGGTTTGCATGTCATTAGGCCATTGATCCAAGTTAAAGTTGCACCAGACCTGAAGGTGAGTTGATGGTGACCACATAATAGCTCCTTCTGAGGTTATTGTCATTCCTGCATGGCCCAGTATGTTAGCTCCATGACCAACAGCACTAGAAAAACAATGAAGAAGTTTCCTCTGGGTTTTGGTACCATGCAGACTTGTCAGTAGATGACAGTGTTTCAGAGATACATGCTGTGTCAATCTTCAGGGCTGAAGGGGTGATGCTGGGAAGTGGAGGGATACTTCCAATCCTATATAAATCCTTTCCTTTCCTAGAATTGCCACTGCAGTCTTGATGATGGAGGTGGCATGTTTCTTCAAAACTTTGGCACCTACTGATTAGTCTACACAGCACCAAAACCCAGATCATGATCATCATCCTCATTGCCACGAAAACCTCAAATCGCACAATGAAGTTCCTGAAAGTACATTTGTTTATAACACAATGAAGTTCCTGAAAGTGCATTTGTTTATATTATATAAATGTTGCAAATTCTGCATGTTTAGTAATTAGCAATATCAGTGCAAAGTAAGCTTGATGACTGGGGTTTGATTCCCAGTAAGGGTAATATTTTCTTCACCTCCATGTCATACTAGGCTGAGGCAAGCACACCCTCATCCAGTCTGTGTCAGGGGCTCTGTCCCTGGGGTGTGAAGCTCACCACCTGCATCTTGTGCTGAAGTTAAGAATGCATGGAGCTCTGCCTTGATTCCCCATAGGCTTTCATGTTAAGGTACGTAATTAAGCAAGAGGGACAAATTTAATTTTATCCTCAGTATTAATAGTGTATTATGAAGAAATGACTAAGAATAACTTTTAGGTGTATTTTAAAATTTATGTTAAGGAAGGGCAGTTCTGACACTATAAGTTTTAGATAAAGGGTTTGCTTATGTTTTTTTTTTTTATAATGAGAATCACCAAATATTGGGGCGATCAGATAAAGGAGGGTCAGGGTGTGGCACACATAAGAGAGATTAGAAATGCATACAAATCTTCAGAAAACCAGAAACAGAGATGTTACTACACAGGCATAGGCTTAGTTGGGAGGATAATTTTCAATTGGATATTGAAGGAACAGCATGTGAGAAAGTGGACTGCATTTTTCTGTCATTTTTGGTCTTCTGGTTTATAAAGGCATGTGAACTCACAAATAGATACCAATGTTTTTGTAGGAATAGACTGCTTCCATCTTCAGGGCTGAAGATATTAAAAATGGAGTTAGTATATTCCTCTGAAGCACTGCATCTACTTATAAGTCTGCAACACTGAACATCAACATCAACATCTTCACTACTGTCAGAATCTCAGATCTCATATATTCATCTGATAACTGGTTTCACTTTCTCTAAAGGTGGCATAACCAAATTATATCTCTCAGTTTAATGGCCATGGCTTTATTAACTGTGCAGCTTATAATTTTTCCTATCCCAGAAACAGTCCATTAGTGCATAGTCAACTAAACTGGAATGGAAAATTATCAGTTCTTCAAGACAGCGTGTTGAGTAGAACTGATAACATTGAATTTCTTTATTTAGAATGTTATGTGTCTGCTAGAAATCAAATTTTATGAACCCTAAATCTCTGTTCAGTACTATTTTGTCTGTCCCATGTTACTCATTATTTTTGTGTCATGCATATCATTACAAGGAAGTTGTTATAAGTGTACTTACTGTTTCACATTTATAATACCTGTAATCATTATAGAGGGGAACACTCTTCTAAGACATTAGTAACAGAACATGTACAAACATACTTATGAAGTACAATTTCTGGTATCCAAACTTCATGCTCAGTCACATGTATTGATGTCAATCCACCGTAGTCTTCTGGCTTCCAGTGTATTTTGTCATCGATCCAGTGCTGAAATATTTATTGTGAGTTTAGCAAAGCACACTAGCAACATGCTGTTGAAAGATACAGGTAAATGTGTAACTGAAAAAGCTCGAACACAGGCTAGCTTTCATCATATTCGACACAGCTGAAGAATATGTTTGTGCCTTTTATAATTGAGTAGTTCAGGAAGAACTTACTGTTTTGCAACTGACGACTGTGTACTGCAATCCCTTTTCTTGATTGTGCAATGTGTACCAAAAGTGTTTTCAGAAAACTGCTTACAAAAACTTGGCACAGGAACCCAGCAAAAAAAGAGAGAGAGAGAGAGAGAGATTTTTTTTATACATAACCTGCTTACTTTCTTAAATTTCTGTGATCATGTTTTTAAATCCCAATTTTCAAGAGGAAATAAATAATTTATTTCCCTTGTATCATTGCACCCTTTTTAGTACAGTACTTATCATATTTTCCATCACATGAAAGCATTCATGAGTCTGTATTCAGATGTTCTTCACTTTGCCTTATTAGTGTCATTCTTACTGAAGAATATATGCCAGAGGAACCATATTAAGTCAATAAAATATTAATAGTTACCTGAATATTGTGAAGAGGAATGTTTGGATTGAGAAAATTAGGTGAATGTTGGGTTTTGTGTGCAGGTGTATGTACAGTAAATAGTGGTAAATTTCAAAATGACATTTGGTATGGAAGATGCAATAACATTTTTGAACTACTTAGTAAAACATTCTGCAAACCCATGTTAGGTAGACAAGAGTCTGGTGTATGTATTAGCATAAATTTGAAGAAGTTAAATTGTATTTACATTTTTATTGTCTGATGTGTTAGAATATGCCATCAGTAATTGCAATTGATTGAGACACATCAGCTATTGGAATTTGCTGCTGATGTTAATTTATTGGGGGATGATATAAATATAATAAAGAAGAACACAGACATTTTACTAGATGCTAGTAGAAAGACATTCAGAAAAAATCTTAAGTACTTGTTAGTATCCTGTCAACAGACAGGCGGGCAAAATCATATTAGGGTTGCTAATAAATCCTTTGAAAGTGTGACAATGTTCAAATATTTGGGAACAACAATAACAAATCAAAATGATATTCATGAGGAAATTAGGAGGAGACTGAATTCCAGAAATGCTTGCTACTTCTCAGTTCAAAATATTTTTCTTCCTGTCTGATTTCTAATAACCTGGAAATTAAAGTATACAAAACAATAATTTTGCCTGTTGTTTTGTATGGGTGCGAAACATGGTCTCTCACTCAGAGGGAGGAACACAGATTGCAGGTGTTTGAGAATAGGGTGTTGAGGAGGATATTTGGGCCTAGGAGAGAAGACGATGGGGTATGGAGAAAACTACATAATGATGAGCTTAAAATTTTGTACTCCTCCCTCAATATTGTCAGGGTGATTAAGTCAAGAAGAATAAGATGGGCAGGGCATGGGGCAAGAGGTGTTCACCGGCTATTGGTTGTGAAGCCTGAGGGGAAGAGAGCGCTGGGGAGACCTAGAAGTAGATGGGAGGATAATATCAGGTGGGATCTATGGGAGATAGGAGTTGAAGCTGATTGGATTTTACTGGCCTAGGGCAGGGACCGGTTGAGGGCTTTGGTTTTGTGATGAACCTTTGGTTTCTGTAAGCCATCTAGTTGGTTAGTTAGTCTGGTGCCAGTCATAAACATTGCTTGATTCATAGTGGAATTAGATTGGTGTTTGTCTTTAACAGTCTCTTAGATCATTTCTTTTAAATTTACTTTTAATGTCAGTAATTGTATATTGTCTTACAATCTGGATGTTTTAGACATTAAATTACTTGAACCATTTTTTGCACCTTTGAATTATACTCAAATAAAGCGGTGATTACAATGAACTGTTTTATTGAAACAAAATTGCTTTCATTGCTGTAAAGGCTGCATTAATTTTGACATTGCAGTATATTGGCCACTGTTTAAGATATCTGTTGTATGTTTACATACTTCTGTTGCTGTAGTATTGTGGTAAGTAAACTGATCACATTCCATTTGCATTCCTATTCTTAACTCTTACTTTATGGTAATAGGGGATTTGAATGCCCATATTATGGGGCTGCTGGCCAGAATGTAATTCTGGGACAGTGTGACTCCTGGCCTACTGGACCATATAAACAGTGACACAGGGATGATAAGGGTTAAATTTTAGAGTTTTAGAGCCTAATAACAGACTGAAGATTATAATCTTTTATGAATATCCACTCACATGTGTTGATGTGTGTTATGGTATTTTGAAAAATAAATCTGTTAAATATTTACTTACCATTGGTATTGTGCCATCAATAGAAAAAACAGAACGTTTCACATCCTAGAAGATAGAAATAAAGTTAAGCACATTGCACAAATTATTGCATCAAAGTCACGATTGTAAATTGATTTATGACACTAATACTGATTATGAGGAGCTTGATAATTGAAGTTTTTCTATCACTGAGAAGGAGTCTGATGTTTTATTAATATAAGAGTGCAATTTAAACTTTTCAATTATATTATAAACTGCGTGAATTAAATGTAGTGGTCTTTTTAATTGATGTACAATAAGTAATGAAAGAATGAAGTTTCTGTCTGCTTCATGTATGATACTGATGATGACTGAGTGAATTTTACCTTACTACCTAATGACAGTAAGAAAGATTTATTTTTCAGGAATTTTCTAGAAATCAGTATGATTGTTTATTGGGAGAATTTATGAATGATTTACAATTTTTAGTTTAACACTTCCTCTTTTGCTCTGTCTCAGAAATGCTCTCATGTAACAATGCCACAAATCAGACAGTTTGATATTGAAAATGGCTGTCTTATGGGATGCTGTACCATGTAGTCTTGGTAAATACTGACCAACATATCAGAGGAGTTTGCTTACTCCAACATAAGAGCATCTGATAATGGACTTGAAAATTTAAGCAACCATGTTATAAAAGGTTTGTTCTCAAATCTATATAGAAATATAACCTCCTACTTTTGAGATCATCTAAGTTACTCATACCAGATTTTATCAAACCTGTTCCAAGATAACAGTTAATAATAACATATTTTCTTGAACTTTTAATTATACCATAAAAAGTAATAACTCCACATCTCTAGACATACTGATTATTATTCTTGTATTCCTGGGTTTAAATCACACCTACATACAAATACTTTGCTATTTTTGGTGAATGAACTGTAATTTATTGTTTTTAACAGACAGCAAAAGCTCTGATGTTAATGAAAAGTTAAGAAATTATGATTAAATACTAAATTCTTCCATTTGGCTGTTTATCCATTCAGTTTGCATTCCGTCCGTCTGTATACCAGTTTAAGTCTGCAAAGCTTTTCTTCCAAATAATAGACAGTAACTAAAAGATTAATTGAATTTTAACCCACCAGCTTCACATGGTGAAAATTCAGGTACATTAAAACAGAAACATGATGGTCCTCCTGAAGGACAGGCAGCGAGTAGGGATCATAATTAGACAGCAAATTCCTGCGAAGTTTCTGAGTCATTGTGGTTGGTTTTGGCTCAACAATCTCTACTTTTTCTGAAAATATAAAAAATAAGGTTTTGTAATGTTGAGAATTTCTTGAGTGGCTTAGCAATTATTAATGCAAGATGAGTTATGGTAATATAAATCTTTGTCATATATGAAAAACTAGAAAACTGTAGTGAGATGGGGTAATATATTACTAGCATGGTCAGTAGAAGCTTTATAATTTGTACTTCTCTCAAAATATTATCAGGATTATGAAGTCAAGGAGAATGAGATTGCATTCATGGAAGAGATGAGAAAGATACAGAATCTTAAGACAAAGACCTGAAGGGAAGATGCCACTTGGAAGACCTAGGCATAGATGGAAGCTCAATATTAGAGTTATTGTTGCAGAAAATGAGATATGAACATGGGCTGAATACATGTGGTTCAGGACAGGGCCCAGTAGTTGGGTCTTGAATCGGGCAAGTATCTTATTCTGAAGCTCTAATTCTTGACAATTATAATTTAAAGTAAATTAAACCTTTGATCTGTCATTTGAATTCTCTGTCTTCTGATGCTATCAGACTAAATAAGGTGTGTCCTTTTTATATCACTTTATGTTTTGTCATGTACATATGTATGTTAAATAAGACAAAATTAATGTAATCATATAACCTGAAATTATACTCATCCTTTATATTACAAAAAAATTTTTAACTGTAAATAATATAAAAAAACCGTACATAATGTACAGTGACAATAATTTTTGTGTACACAGCAGTAATAGTCAATTGTGGAGCTAAAAATGGCAAAACATAATATTCTCTAAGTAAATTACAAATTATTGCTGTTATCAGCATCACACCATAAGGGTGTTTATGAGGCATGGATGTAAAGTATCATCAGTCTTAGTGTCAACATTACATTGAACTCTATGATCAAGCCCTTACTACCCACTGTGCAGGGAGCTGGATGACCCCCTGAATGCTATAGTGAAAAGTAAAGTTCATACTTCCTTCTAAGAACTGAACCTCAGCCATTCTTTAATTTTGCTGACTCACTATGAAAGTTTAGAATTTAATTTTTTCTTCAGAATATACGTAGCATTCAGTGTATTCATACATAACCAAGCCACAATTATTTTAATGAATTCATTAGGTTAGGTTGGGTTGGGGGTAGGTTAGGTAGGGTTGGGTGAGGTGCATTTGGAATTAAAAATTTGCAAAGAACATGCATGCTCTGTGTTTTCTAATACAGATTAAACCTTTGCACACTTGATATTACCTGTATCTTTTTCAATTGGGCAGGCGTACAGCCACTTGCCAACAACACCTGTCCATGTGCAGAAGCTGAAGTAGTGAATGTCTATTGGATCTGGATCAGTCCAAAACAGAAATGGAAGTTCATCACCCTCTTTTCCCACCTGCAAGATACCTTTTCCATTAAAATGCACCCAGAAACCTCTTAGTTCCACAGGTGACAAAAGATCTCTGGTACGTGCTGTTGCTTTAGTAGAACTGCGGCGTAGGCGTCTAATGTCAGAAAATGTATTCCTCCCTGCTCCTAGGACTATTTCATACACTGCCTGTCCCTCTACAGGAGCAGGGCTAGATGACAGCAGAAGGTGGGCATCACTCTGGGCTCGGACTAAGAAGCGAATTGTAATATTGCCACCTTTATGACCACCAGATTCTGATATGTGGAGAAACGTTTTGTATCCATATCCATATGTGAATGTGATCTTGCAGTCGTGTGAGTTAACTGGAAATGAAGTTGAAAATACTACATTACTTTATTATCAGAAATAGTTCATGATATGCAAGAAGATTGTGTATTTGAGGTTTTGGAATTTTAGCAACTTTCTGTAATTTTAAGGAAACTATTATTTTGAACAGTCACCTTTGTATAACTAGTGGTTAGTGTGTTCACCACTGGCCCCAGTGTCGAGGTCAAGAATGAGTAGGAGCTATACCACCTCTCTCCCCAAGCGCCTACATGGCGTGTAGCAGGACTGCTTTACTTTACTTACTAATTTAAAAGTTTCATGCCATTATGATGTTAGTATTTTTATCATAACAAAAATATATTATGGTTTATGATCAACCAGATATTACAAAGGTTTTTTTCCCTTTTAAAAATCATCCTCAAATGCATCATTTTGAGTATATCATTATTATACCACAAATCTCAGTGTTTGCCCTTAATTGGCTCTTTGCTGTTGGCAATCACTTTAATAAATGAATTAAATTGAAATATATAACTTGGGTCTTCAGATATTGAATATTTCATCCCAACAAACTTATGTCACCTACTTCCTGAAGAAGGCAGTATTTTTCATCTACACTGCATAAATACCTGTTACTGCTACTGAAGAAAGAAACATCATGACAAGTACATTAAAACAGGATCCAGCACATTTAAAGAACTAGAAATATGTAAATCAACTTGAGTCCATAGCAGATAAAGGCAGAAAAGAAATATGGAAAAGAAAATGGAATAACAAAGCTGTAATAAATCTCCATGTTAATATTTGACACCGAAATCTTCTCTCAAAAAATATAGTCTGTAATAACACCAAACTCTCAATTTTATTTCTAGTTTTATGTTTAGTTATCTCACGTTCTAATGGCTGTTTTGACAAACACCAAACTCTCAATTTTATTTCTATTTTTATGTTTAGTTATCTCACGTTCTAATGGCTGGCTCATGTCATGGCTTTTGTTTAATGCAATTTAGATGATCTGGCAGCTGATTATAATGGTCTCCAATTGCATTAGATTTTTGCAGTCTTAACAGATTTGCAAGGAATTATTTTTTAACTTTGATTGAGAAAGCATTTCTCTGTAACAGAATTTCCAAAACAGTTTTGTCTGCATAAACATTTTCTCTCCAAAAATACTAATGGAACTTAAATTAAACTAAACTAAACTGAAATCTGTGGATACAATATAACACATAATAAAGAGGCTTCTATCTGATACACAGTCGAGAGTCTCTGTGACATACAGTCTTCATTGAGTAGATGATAGTTATCCCACTGTTAAAGAAATTTCATTTTTCTGTGGAACTGTAATATGCTATTGTTTTCCAGTGTTAAGGAAATAGTTTGGACAATAATGTAGTTAAGAAAGCATCATTAAATAATCTTGCAGACAAATCTAACCAATCCACCTTACTTCGGACTGTTTGAAAATGTATAGATGCTGAACTATTGAACTTAATATTTAAACTGTAATGAATTTTTGTCTCGTTTCTAAAACATATATCAATTAAATACACTATACTCATGCCATAAATGTTGGTCCTTGTATTACCAAATTCTTTTAACTGCATTTTATAAAAATAAAACTAATGTAAGGAAAGTTTGAACTTTCAGACCTGTCACGATACAGGACATTACGTTCTCTCTCCAGAAATTATTATAGCAATATAGACTCAGTAATAACTAAACCCTGATAAATGGATAATACTAAGTTGTACAGTAACAAACCACTAACTTTCTTCAAACTCTTACATGTGGAATTTTAGCATTATTGGGGGCATTTAAAAACACTGAAAAAAAGGTAATGATTCCTATTCAAAAATGGTAATGTACATGCCCTTGGTTCAAGTTTTTAGAGATACTCGTGCAGTTATGAGCATTGGTCACAAGATACCATTGATTATACACAGGTTATGTCCAATTTAGGGTTCCAAAGGTATTAGAACTTGTAGTATGTACCTCATGCCAATTTACAACGAATCAGTCATTTCTATCTTAACATGATACTTCTAGTAGTCACTAGGCTGTTATTTTCATTTTCCCAAAAAAATCCAAAATAAAAGTTGAACTTTAAAACATGGGTTGTCAGTCTTCTCCATGTCGAGTATCAAATTCACAGTTGCCATAAGTAAAGCTGTCCCACAATGCGCCATGTAGACGCTTCGGGTGAGAGCGATATAGCTCCTACTCATTCTTGGCCTTGGCAATAGATGGGGTGAGTAGTCAGCATCACGCCTCGGCCGCTCTTTACCCCCGGGGAAGAACCGTGGTACCCATTTGACAGAAGGCTGGTTTGGCCCCAAAGTTGGTCTGGACGCAGAGGCTAGAAGAAAATCCTCTGCCTCTGTCGGGGATCGAATCCCGATCGTCCAGCACGTAGTCAGTCATTATACTAAGTTAAATTATCTAATAATCTATTGAAACTTAATGGCACTTTATTAGAAATGTTACTATCCTAGTATTATAAAGAGGTTCACATATCACCTAATTATTCTGTTTAATAAAATCAGTTGTTAGTGGGTAATTTTACGCCACTTTTACTTTGGTTTTGTGTCAGTATTAGTTGCAGTTTTTCCTTGGGATTTGTATGCATCTCTCCATGTGTCATCAGCAAATAAGATCCTAGTTCTTGATTTGACATTCTTCATTAATCTAAACAATTGCTCTCAACAACAGTTACAGTTCAATAAATAGTGATGTCATTAACAAAACGAGTTTTCTGATATCAGGGAAATATTTATAATCTTGCAGATTTACATAATATTCATATTATAAAACATTTACGGACTTGCTGCTCTCGGGCCGCGGTATGTTTAACCCTAAATGAATTACACTGATGTTACTGCTCCCTCCTCGATAGTTCGCAAGGCTGCATGTAGATGGCATTTTTAATGACAGGAAGTTAACAGATAATAACGCTAGATGTAGCCTCCAGTGTGATGTTTATAAGATTTGTATTAAAATAGTTTGAAACAGAGGCTAAAATTTATGTCTGATGTCTGTGAGAGAGCAGACAGACAATTACGTATATTTTGTTAATAAGATTCAGGAAGGAACATTTCATTATATTCATTTATATTAATTTTGATTGATTTGCTTATTATCAAAATTACACGCTACCTTCTGTGTTCACCGCATTCTGACCAAGAGATGTCACGACGAATAGCAGTGTAATTAAAACTGCTGTTTTGATGCCCATCACAGTAAGGAATGTTCACAGTCCAAAATGCAACTACAAACTGAATGCTCGCTGGAATAATCCGCGTCGCCATATGAAAGGAAGCTTAGTCGATAATACTTATCTTACGTCTTCCGTTCATGTGGACGTTCCTCGATATTGGGACGCGAAGGATATCTGTTTTGTTTTACTTTTTTTTCGTTTGCATGGTTATAAAGATTCTCGAATGGTTGCCCCATATCAGAAACACTTTGCTATGTCAGTGTTACCCAAACTTTTTTGGCCACGAAGATTTTGTTGTGATTTACGGAGAGAGAATTCCATATTATAACGTATTCAAGCTGCAGGTGTCTGTTTAACCAAACTCTAAAATCTTAAGTCCCTTTGCAAACCCTACAGTTTGACCTCAAGGAACTTTAATTCATTTCGTATCAACATGGTTTACTTCTCGAAGATGCTGTTTGATATTCTCCATTTTCGTCTTGGAATACTAAAATGTTTCTCGGTCAACATTTTGAACTCTTTGATGTCGCCTCGTGTATACTGTATACCCAGCCCATCTCAACACTCTTAAGCTAAACACTGTAACACTAGTAGGTGAATAATTACATTTTTGAACTCTTCACTGTGTAAAGTTCTCTATTGTCCTTTCTATCTTAGGTCTAATAACCTGAATTCTCCTCGGTGTTTCGTTGTAACACACAAATATCTCATCAAAGATACAACAGTTCGGGTTTACAGAAAACAATCAGGTGGAATTTTAGTTTATGTGTTTTACTTTGTACTTTGGGGGGGGGGGGGGGGACAGCGGGAGAGCAAAGTAAAAACATGTCAGGAAATATACGCATAGCGCAACAATTTTGTGGTGTTCTCTCTGTTGTTTGCTAGTTAAGACGCTCGAACACATACAAACGCATGCAAATCTGTATGTAAAGTGTTCGTTATTGTTGTCCAGTTTTAACCAAAGCTGGACAGTCTTTTGCCAATCTCCCCAATATTGGCTAAAATTTTATGAAACAATATAATGGAATATAAGAATGTATCTGTAGAGAATAATATTTTAAGATAGAACTTCCATATTATTACAAATGCAATGCTCGTTCTTTGCTGCAATTAAATTTACAATACCCGCTCCTAGTAACATTTTACACTTTTGCGTATTCTGTTTTGTAGTTCATGATCATTTAAAAGCGTAGTTAAATGTCACACTGATTGTCCTTGAAAATATATATAAATACAAATGCATTTACATTTTTCATGGAGTAATCATAGCAGTACTCCGATGTTTTAAAAGATTAATTTTATCGAGATGCAATTAGCCTAAACCTGTCTGAATTTAGGGTTATAATGATCAATAGAGTTGTTATTCTTTCTCAGTAAAATAACTACAATTTTTGCGTAGACAATATATTTTTAATATTCGTAAGTGAGTAATTCCACTTTGGTTTTATGTCGAATTTTCTTGGTACAATTTTTCGGTTTGAAAATTTAAAAATATGAATGTCGCTGGCGTGACTTGAATTGAAGTGTGGCTACTTTTTCGACGTT